GGGCCCACTAGTGTGGGGATGACCCCGTTGAAACGAGGCGGACGAGAACCGAACTGGATTCTGTAACCTTTCTCTACAATCTGCAGGACCCATTTTGAGATATTTGGAAGCAGTTTCCTCTCGAGGCTGGCTTCTGGTATTATTAGAGATGCCAGTTCGGTGCCCTGAAGCGGATGACCAGCAGGGAATGACCGACCTGACTGCTGTAGCACCCTCACTTGAGGGGGCGAGCTCTCCCGTGCCGTACCGTTGCCGGGCGGCAGCTGGGAATTTCGCTCGTCGGAGCTCACTGAGCCCTGAAGCACCGAGGTGGCAAAGGTATCAATGAACCTCCATGAGGGCACTGAGGGAACAACCGACCTGACTGCTGTAGCACCCTCACTTGAGGGGGCAAGCTCTCCAGTGCCGTACCATTGCCGGGCGGCAGCTGTGATTTTCGCTCATCGGAGCTCACTGAGCCCTGAAGCACTGAGGGTATCAATAAGCCTCCGTGAGGGCACTGAGGAGGATTGGGCACCGTATACTGAGGTGTTATCCTTTCCTCCCCAGGTGGGCTGCCCTCAGGGACCTGACAATGGTAGGACCATTTAGCCGAGGTCCTCTTAGACAAATAACGGTCCGCAGATCCGTTTTCGGTCTAGAAGACCCCAACTGAGAGCGTCGCCCCGACCCCCGATCTTTCTGTGGAGGGCTGTGGGTTGCAACGCTCTGTTTTTGAGACCGGCGATATGAGGAGCTTGATGGCTTGGGCTGCTCCCGCTCAGCAGCCCCACCCCTGAGCAGGTCAGCCTGGTATGCTTGTAACACCGCCATTGTGTGCAAACATGCGCCAGCCTGACCTACCGCCGTATAAGCTTTCCCAACCAGACTCGATGTAAGCCTAACGGGCCTGGTGGGAAGCTTCGGGGCCTTCAGGGACGATGCTGAGGATGGGGAGAGATAGCTCGAAAGCGTCTGCTCAACACACCCCATAATCACGAATCACATCTCATATGCGAGGGACTGTGGTGGCAAGTCCACAGTCTCCTCTGTCTCGACACTCATCACATCCACCTCCTCGGAGGACGATAGATGAAGCATCTGGCTCTCTCTGTCTGGTGGGGGGGGGGAAGAAACCGCAGCGCGGGCTTCCGAACCGTGAGAGAGAGCCGCGGATCTAGCGGGTGAGGACCGAGAAAAGGACGAGCCCGTCTTGGATCCGCTAAATCTGCCCGCGATCCCCATGACAACAGTCTGCGCTGTGCCTCGGCCGCTCTCATCAAACACAGCCAGGCGAGAGCGGAGCGTGCGCAGCGAGAGCAGCTCTCAGTGATGACAATCAGCTGCTCGAAAGCTGACTGTGCATGCTCCGCTCCTGAACAAACGACACACAAATCGTGTGTATCCCCCGCCGCCAGATATCGTGGGCAGGGAGAAACACGTTAACACATTTGTAATGCCGTTCGCTCGCCATATACTTTTTCATGATTGTTTTTTATATATGCTTGTGCGGACAGACAACAGTAAATAGACAGACACATACACAGAGCGCTACTGAAGACCTGAAGCTGGTTTGCGCTCTGCTGGATGCGCTTTTATACTTTCTGGTGCTTACGTCACCCCGCTTGTGACGTCTCGCTGTTCCACTGGACTGATTTGACACGTGCTTCAGAACGCGGTCACACAAGGGCGTTCCCAAAGCGACTCGACGCAGCTCGAGTTCCTGAAGGGGAACCTATTTATTTCTGATGTCCACAGGCTCCTGAATCTGTCCCTCACCTCTGACCTGGTGCCGGATCAGGAAGTGATCGATGTCATCATACATGTGGGCCGCAATCCGCTTGGAAGACATTTAGCATGGAGATATTTCCGCGAGAAGTGGGACATATTGAATTCCAGGTGAACGTAGCTTTATTCATCTCTGTTTATCAGTGATTTTAACCTTCCTCTCAGTCCCTGATATGAATTTCACATTCGCACTTTCATAAGATATTTATTGGCGAATGTTATTTTGTGTCTTGTTTGTGTTTGGAGGACCGAGAACATTATGGGAAATATCTGTTGGTGTTTGTTTGCTTCTGGGCTCATTAGAGCGGTGCTCCAGTGTTTTTAATAACAGTGTCTCTCATTGGCAGGTATGGAGAAGCCTTATTTATGAACTCAAAATTAATCAGTGGCGTGACAGAGTTTCTCAACACTGAGGCCGAGTTGAATGAGGTGAGGCTGAACTTTTACATCATCCTGAGGCTAGAGGTACACCTCTTAATCATCGAATCTTCATGGAACATTAATACTTACAAACAAACTTTGGTCAGCAAGTTATTGCGATGGAGAAAGTGAGCAAAAGTAAACTCCATTTCGTTGGGATATTTCCTCATTGTAGCTGCTTAACCTTATTCCAGGAAATGGAACGTATATTCACTTATTCAAATTCATTCAGCTTCAGTCCCAGAGGACACAGAGTGCTGATACTTCTCACTGCAGCGCAGCACTTTCTCATCCAGCTGACTTCGCCTTCCACAATTTATCATTCATAGAGAGATAATACGAACCCCCTCAGTGTTTTCTTAAACAGAGCATTAGCATACTGTCATTGACAATCAGCTGCTGCCAGAGCACTTCATCCACAGATTCACGAAACATTCAGCGATATGTTTAACCCTTAAATGCATACCTCGGGTCTTTAGCGACTTGGGACGTCATTCACTACCCTATCCCTCCATTTTTTTAAATGTAAAATTATTCAATTTTCTTTTTTAGTATTCCTCAATCTATTTATTATAAACAATATAACAAGAAAAAAATTATAAAATATAAAAGAATGTCTGTTTTCTGATTATTTTTTGTAAGAAGTGTATGAGGTCGCTAGAGACCCGCGGTATGTAATATAGTGTAAGTATATTTTCCATGCGCAACAATATTTAAATATCTGATGACTCCATACATGCAATTCACCATTATTTCTTGAGGTGGCACTGTTTGATAGACAACGATGATGCGATGTTTCACTCATAATTACCACAGGCATAAAACAAATGAATACCATCGGCAAAAATGTAACTGGTTTGAATGGCTTTACTGCAGAGCAATTACTATACGCAATGAAATATAAATGTCACTATCATTGGATGTTGGATGTGGTGAATAAGCTGCCATCAATCAAAATACTAGTTTTGAAGTCATTGAAAACGATAGTTTTGAGAATACATTTGAGATCGCGAATATGTGCCAGATGCTGAATGTACTGTGGAAGTGTTCTTAAAATATCAAGAGGGATTTTTGCTATTGTAGCAGTTAGAGATCCATCTGTGCTGGATATATAGGTCCAGGTCGCTAAAGACCCAAATATGTAGTAATGGCTGGCAAAACATTCATGCATTTAAGGGTTAATGCTGTGTATTTGAAATGAGCATTTTATTTTCTTTTAAATGTTTCAATGAACGAACAGCAATTTTGAAATAGTTCAGGAGATATAGAGCAGCTTTAATCCTGAATCCCCGTGCACATTCATTCATGTAGTCCTCATGACCTCAGGAATTGGGAATCGTAAATGGCGATTTTTGATGAGATTTTTATGCCCTTAATTGATGTTAGAATTTGACACACCCAAGTGTCCTTTTCTTCCAATAAAACAACAAGACTAATAATTCTGTTTACTTCAAATGCATTCCCACACCTCATTATCATAAACATCATTGTTATCTGCTGAATTACATGTCAGCAATTTGCATGTAAATGCATCGTATATTCTGACGCCGTTTAACTGTCAGAGATGAAGGTGTCTGTAAAAGCCTTTACACGCATAAACACACACGATCTGATACATCAAGACACAATACAATGATAATGTTAATAATGAAAATTGTTTATTCTCTCCTCAGCTGAAAGAGTTCATCCTGACCAGCGGGGGAGAGTCTGCACCTGCGTTCGCTCGAGCCGTTGAGATCGTTCAAGCGAATGTAAAATGGCACATCCTGTTCCAGCAACAGTTTTACCGATGGCTGCGGAAAGCTCCTGATGGTTAATGCAACATCAAGTATGGAGCGCTCTATTAGCATGGAAACTCATGGCCAGTGACGTGGGGAGATATAAGTGAAATAAAAAAAATCGAAAAAACTATTCTGGACAGCGAGAATCAACAAAATTGAGCTTTTATTTCCCTGCTGTTTTTGAAACGACCAGGCCCTCACAGACCAGGATAAAATGAATGGCTGAAAAACACTGAAGGAATCAATGTCGGAAATTGCATGATGGCATACGTCAGTAGCGACAGACAATTTACATTCCATTTCCCCTCGTATTTTGCATGAAAGTCATTTCCTTCTTGCCGTCATTCTGTTTTTCCTGAAGTTTGACCTTTTCTGAGTCCTGAGAGTATCGGATTTGCTTTGAAGACCAGATGACGGTATAAAGAGATTGCTCTTCGGTATATATAAACACAATTTAGATTAAGCACAAATATGTGACAATCAGTGTTTTGATTGGAACAGTACGAGGAGGACAAAGAGAAGTATTCATGTAGCCTTTTCTCTCTCCAAAGCCATAAAGAGGAGCAGACTGAATTTTATCTCTTGTACAGATGGTGTTTATTGTTTGATCAATTGACGGCACTCAACGGGCATCAGAAGAGGAAATATTCTAGTCAACGTTTGGAGGGTTTTCTGCAGGTCCTGACTGGAGCGGTCATGGTCGAACCTGAAGGTGTCTTGGATCATTTGCATTTTCATAGTGTTACTCTTTGCTCTCCAGTTTTGGAGGGCATGTCCTTGAATATGGTATGTTTGTTTTAAGTGGAAAAAATAATCAGCGTGTCGATATTTTCATGTTTGAATCATTGATTCGCTGGAAGGAGGTCAACGCAGTGCTGCGATGTTATCTTTATGAGTCGTGGATAATGTGAGCTTCTGAAATGTATGGTTGTCATGGATACCAATTATAAAGGTTTTCATAGTTTTATCCTTGTTTTGTTTTTTTAACATGGACATGAATGGCTAAACGTGCAGTATTGAAAATGATGTCGTGTTTGGATAATATGCAAGGTTCTGTAAGTTTGTCTTGTTTTCCAGTAAGAATATATAAAAAACTATATATATATATATATATATATATATATATATATATCTATATATATAATTCCAGCTGAATCATGTAAGAACCTCCCCCCTTCCTCCCTTTATCCAGGTGTTCAGCCAATCCCATTGCTCACTGCCACTGGATGGTCGCCATGTTCTTATTAAATTCTGCAGGCAGGCTGAACACAGCCTCAACACACTGCCCTCCAGTTACAAACCAATGCACAGCATTTGTACACAATAAGCTGAAATGCAGAGATGAATGGAGCTAAATGTGAGTTTTAAAGTGCATTTTTGATTCACATATCTGTTAATGCAACAAAACATTTTTTAAGAGATTTAAACACTGCAGATATCAAATGGGTTTGGTTGCTTATGAACTTTCTCACAAACTTGTTATTAAGGAATATACAACTTCAGGCCCACAGCATAGAAACGGATCCCTCTCCCGATCCCATGACATGCAAATGCTTATTCCATCTGCAGAATTCAGGCTAAACAACCAAAGCAGTTTCTTCCCTCAAGCTGTCAGACTCTACAATAACCAACAACATCCAAACAGACTAACCAATGCGTGCATGCTGTGCATGGCCTTGACCTTACAGTCTTTGGAATCTTTTTAAACTGTCCTTAAGGGTAGTAAACACTGGGAAATGTGAATACAGTACATTCCCTAGTGTTTTACAATGTATTGTTTAGTACTGCATTTATTGTTTCTTTCTGTGAAGAAACTATAATTTGTCCTTTTTCTAACCAAAATAAAATAGACCTTAAAGATTGTCTCCATTTAGATTCAACCACCACACTAATATACCTGGGGTGCCAGCTTTACTGCTTTAGTTTTGATAGGCTGATCTTTTCTCACCTGCAGCCAATGACACTGCACACTTCCACCAGGCCCCATATGCAAATTATTATTAATGGTGATTTATTTACTTGGCATCCTGTGCCAAGCCTGGCTATTAGAAAAAGAGAGCGAGAAGAGCGAAAAATATTCCCATGTTGCGTTTTATAATTCCCACCCCCACCCAGCGTTGCTATAGAAACTCCCAATCAGAAACTGTTGTGCCCATGCGCTTGGCGTGGGTTTCAGTGGCGCAGGTGGAATGCATATGGAACAATGGCCCATCTGGGTGTGCCAGTGGCGCCCATTTTAATCACACCATTTCGACAGTGCTGGCTGATGGAGACATTGAGTGGGCTGCTGGGAGGCCGCCAGACCTCATCTACGGTGTGCAAAATGGATCATAGAAGGAAGATGCTTCAGATTTGCTCACATGCAGACTTATTTTGAAGGATTCAGTCCATTGGTCAGGCCTAGAAAAAAAATCACTTTATACTTGATAATTTTAGCTCGTTTCATCTCTTTATTCTTTCTACTTGTACGTTAACATGGTACTATGCTATTTCTTTTACTCCCTTTAAAATGCACTATAGGCACATACATTTTCTCAAACTTTTTCTTGAAAATAAAATAAACGCTGATTACCTAAACCATTATAACTAAACTGTAATGCTAATGCTAGCTATTGCTGTGGATATGGGGATGTGTGTGCCTGAATCGGTAATTCAGAGCACCTTATCAATTGAACCACATTTGCGCTATGAACAGAACTAGTGAAGGTTAATTAAAAGACAAAAGCCAAAGGGGTGCCTGGCAGCTCTTCTGGTCTAAACCTATTTATACCATGCTGGGGGGATGGGGATTTTGGGTCTAGGAATGTAATATTGAGTCCTTCTAATAACCCAGTAACCTTGCTCCTAGAGATGCATAAATAAATCAAGCCTGCGCCACTCTCTGCACCTGTTCCATTCAAATATTGCTGTTGAAGCCTCAGACATAAAACCTGATTGTTAAATAGCATAGTAGCATAGTGGACATATATTTTTTTAAGTGTGATATAATGAAGCTCATTTATCTTTTTTTTCTGAGCTTTCTTTTGAGATTTAATGTGCTCTCAACAATCAACCTGCCAGAAAAACAGTTTCACAGGTGCCCTCCAAATGTTTGAAACTGAAAGGGCTTTAATGCTTTGAGAATGCAGAAATAGCTATAAAAATTGATCAAATTTATGAATGTGCTGCAAATATTTAATTCTGATATCTAAAGTAATAAAGCATGCAAATACATGCTAGTTTTCTTCTTTTTGTTTTGTTATTCAAATGATTTGGCAGTTGAATTTGTGCAGGAATAGACAACACAAACCCAATTGTAACACTTTATGGCAAATTGTGAAAAGCGCTGTACAAATAAACCTGACTTGACTTTACTTTACTTAAAAAGTAACTTTCAGTATTTTTTACGAAGTTAAAAATGAATAATATAATATATAATAATTTGATATCAGCGTTTATATCTCCTGGATAATATATATATATATATATATATATATATATATATATATATATATATATATATATATATATATATATTAATCATTTTTATTACCTGGTGGTTGCACCACTTGACATTTTTATTAAATATATGTTTACATAGACCCTTATAATCGACCCATATATATTTTTTCTATTCTTGTGCAGACACATACTTATTACAAAGTAGTTTTCACCATTTACATTTTGTAGATATGTTGACCTTCATCTTCTCAAGTTAATTTGTGTCTGTTTATTTGTTTTGTATACATTGTAGGCATAAAATGTAAAAATTAAGAGCTTAAAAATATATCAGTTATCAGTGCCTTTTCTGCCTCACTATCCTTTTCCAATTAGAAAGACTGGCAGTGCCTTAAATAAACCTGTCGTAAACATTCCCATGATTTGGTGTCTGATTTTTCAAACAAGTCAGACGTAGCAGGTTTAAAATGCTTCAAGCTTACATAAAAGCAGCTGGAGCCACAGGTGTCGACACAGTAAGATGAAGTGTTCAGTGTTATGCAGACTCTGCTCGGAGTGTTACTACAAAAGTCACTACAAAAATTATAACGAATGACAGAAAGAAAAAAAAAGAGGTTGACACACTCAACCAAATAAAATGGTTCTATTGTGCACTGTGGAATGCCAAAATAATTCTGCAAATGTCTGAGTTCACTTTATCAGTCATTTTTGTAGAGCATTCAGAGAACAACATCAGAACATTATTGCACCATAAAATAATCTATCAAACATGAAATCATTTATGGCAGCTCTAAAATGAAAATTCATACTTATGTTCTAAAAAACAAAACGACAAATCTGAACTGAAGTTTTTGTTTCAAGCAATATGGAGTATATACAGTGGGTACGGAAAGTATTCAGACCCCCTTAAATTTTTCACTCTTTGTTATATTGCAGCCATTTGCTAAAATCATTTAAGTTAATTTTTTTTCCTCATTAATGTACACACAGCACCCCATATTGACAGAAAAACACAGAATTGTTGACATTTTTGCAGATTTATTAAAAAAGAAAAACTGAAATATCACATGGTCCTAAGTATTCATATTGCTGTGACACTCATATATTTAACTCAGGTGCTGTCCATTTCTTCTGATCATCCTTGAGATGGTTCTACACCTTCATTTGAGTCCAGCTGTGTTTGATTATACTGATTGGACTTGATTAGGAAAGCCACACACCTGTCTATATAAGACCTTACAGCTCACAGTGCATGTCAGAGCAAATGAGAATCATGAGGTCAAAGGAACTACCTGAAGAGCTCAGAGACAGAATTGTGGCAAGGCACAGATCTGGCCAAGGTTACAAAAAAAAAATCTGCTGCACTTAAGGTTC